GGCTCAGCCGGCTCCCGGTCAGTCCAGGGCTCAGCCGGCTCCCGGTCAGTCCAGGCTCAGCCGGCTCCCGGTCAGTGCAGGGCTCAGCCGGCTCCCGGTCAGTCCAGCGGCTCAGCCGGCTCCCGGTCAGTGCAGGGCTCAGCCGGCTCCCGGTCAGTCCAGCGGCTCAGCCGGCTCCCGGTCAGTCCAGCGGCTCAGCCGGCTCCTGCCCGCTCCATCCACTTGTTGTGCGGCTCTGTGGACGCGGTTGGAGCGCGGAGCCGCGGAGCTGCGGGCGGGAGGGATGGAGGGAGGGCGAGCGCTGGCGGCGGCGGAGATGCCCGCGATGGGAGCGGGGCCAGCCCGCGGCACCGCGCCCCCGGCGCTCCCCGCCGGCCCTGTTGCTCCGCAGCCGCCGCCCGCTCCTCTCCACCGCTCCCGGACCGCTCCCGGCCCCTGGCGGCCACCGCCCGCACTGCTCCGAGCACCGCTCTTCTCCGCTCCTCTGCGCTCCTTTCCTCTCCGCACGGCTCCTCTCCGCTCCTCTCCTCTCCGCTCCTCTCCGCTCCTCTCCTCTCCGCTCCTTTCCGCTCCTCTCCTCTCCGCACCCCTCCGCTCCTCTCCGCTCCTCTCCGCTCCTCTCCGCACCGCTTCTCTCCTCTTCGCTCCTCTCCTCTCCTCTCCTCTCCGCTCCGCACCGCTCCTCTCCTCTCCTCTCCGCACCGCTCCTCTCCTTTCCTCTCCTCTCCTTTCCGCTCCGCTCCTCTCCTCTCCGCTCCTCTCCGCACCTCTCCGCTCCTCTCCGCTCCGCACCCCTCCTCTCCTCTCCGCTCCGCACCGCTCCTCTCCGCTCCTCTCCGCTCCTCTGCGCTCCTCTCCGCTCCTCTCCTCTCCGCACCTCTCCGCTCCTCTCCGCTCCGCTCCTTTCCTCTCCTCTCCTCTCCGCTCCTCTCCTCTCCTCTCCTCTCCGCTCCTCTCCGCTCCTCTCCGCTCCTCTCCGCTCCTCTCCGCTCCTCTCCTCTCCTTTCCGCTCCGCACCGCTCCTCTCCGCACCTCTCCGCTCCTCTCCGCGCTCCCCGCTCCCTGCGAACGCCTCAATGATCCGAGTCCATATCCCCGCGCTGTGTGCCGCCCGGGCTGCCGAGCCCAGCTCCCTGCCAGCCCCCTCCGCCGGCGGTGCCCTGAAGGAAGCCAAATGCAGCGTTGAGGTGGGTTCGGAGAAATGCAAACCCCAGCCCGGATCAAATTTCCCAGAAAAAGAGAAAAGAAGCGCCCGCACCTCCGCGCTGCTGCCCCGCTCGCCTCCTTGCAACACAAGCAGACAGTCCCTCTGCTCTGCTCCTGCCCAACAGCCAGCTCTCAAATGAAGCCGAATTAACTTTCGCTCCTAATTCTGTACCCAAACAGAAAGTAGGTCCTGGTTCATGACTAGAGGGTTCCGTTGTGTATTTGGCAGAGTTAACACCTCAAATCGCTGTTCCCTCTGCCTGCTGCAACACAGGCAGCCTCTAAGCTGCCTATTCCTTCAGCACCTGGAAAATTGGAGCTGTGGCACTTTCCACTCCCTGTAAGGGATCGCCATGAAAATGCAGCTTGGCCATATTTGACACCACAGCTACAACTCTACCATCTCAGTACAAACGAAGTGTAGGCAYTTCCCCTCATGGAGAAGGAAAAGACTAAATGGAGAAGAAATCAAAAAGCAACACTCACACCAGACACTTTGCCTCAAGGTGTTTGCAACTGGAGACAAATCCAACATGAGCAGCGAGTGGGTTGGGCATTTGTTTCATTGCCTCCTCCACAGAGAAACCAAGAGAGCCTGGTGACGATTTCCCTTCGGATTCCTGGCAGCACAGCCCACATTATCCATGCTGCCTGTCTGACTCTGCTGCCCACAYCAGTTACTGCCCATAGCCTTAATCCCACTCGTGTCAGTAAATGACCTATGACTGTGCAGGGGAGAGCGAAGGARCAACCAAATAAGCATGCTGAATGTCAGGCATCAAATCTTGCCAACAGCGCTGTGAAATGGGTAAATGGCACTTAGAGCTCGCATTTTTTTTTTTTTTTTCAGCAATCACAGTTCTTCAAGTTCCACAGTCAATATAAAGACATAGATAAATCCCTAATGTCATCCCAAAGGCTGTTAAAATACGGTGTCATCTGTCATCACAAAAGGAGTCCAAAATTTTGGTGCTCTTGGATGCAGTTTGAAAACATTCAACAAATGCATTCCCAATAAAACCCARATTCTTCTGTAGCCTGGCACAGCAGCACACCCAAGTCATGGATCAAACCCCTTCCATCACTTAAGCACAAGAACATGTAAAATGACATAAAATATCAGAGGTATCACAGGTAAACTTCTTGAATCAGGAGCACCCAGACTTACTCCGACATCAGTAAAGTTTAATTCTAAGGGCATTTTCCAGAGTGCAGTCRCTTCATTCTCCAACAAGTTTTATATTGCTTTTTATCAGTAGGATTTGAACATCATTTTATTTCTTCTTTGAGATGTTTCAAGGACTTGAGGCAAAAAAACAATGTCTTATTTAGCTTTTGCTTCTTTTTCAAAATTTCAGATGCATTGTCTTGTCTTTATCTCAGGTGACTGTTCAGTGGATATCTGAGTTAAAAAGACAAGTAGAAACAACCAATCTCTTTGGTGTTCCTTTTAGAGTGTTGCTATTCTTTTTGGTTTTAAAATCTAAAGCATGTTCTTGGGCAATGATAAATGTGATGCAGGATTCCACTCACACTTCATACA